GTTTAAATATTTGAATTGTGTTATGTTGAGCTTTGGTTGTCCAGTGTTTGACCAATGACAAGTTTATTCAGTGTTAGACCATGTTTTAATTAGTGTGTTGGCGATGTAAGCAGTGACAATTTAAAGCTGAAACAACATTGTGTTCCGTGTACGGTAGCTGATGTTATTATGATGTGCGTTTCTCGATAGGGTATTTCAATTGACCTCGATAAGCCGTGGGTCATCATCGGTTTTATCAACTGGACCGCATAGCAAGTCGACGCCTCCGCCACACACGTCGGGTCGAGAGCTTAACGGTTAGGTGTCGATGCCTCCATAGCACTTACATTGTACAATATAACGGCTACTGCAGTTTGTGTGTATGCGCTGTATGGGATAATAAGTATTTAATTGCAGGTGCTACTGACAATTGTATTTTGGAAAACCGAATAGATTCGCTATGTTATTTTTGAGCTACCAGATTATAGTGATAAAGTCTCAATTTTGGTAAAATGAAAATTTTTAAAACCAAAACAGTTTTATTAAATAGACTGCTTAATAGCTATCGCCTATCATGCATAAGAAACGTGCATTGCTCTTATTATTTTCACTTTATTTGAACGATTTGATAGAAATCACCTGTACCTTTTTTGTATCTCAATTATCATTATGTTGTCTTTAAGGTTTTTTTTAAGAATTGTATAAAATAAATGTTTTTCCAGTTGCAACGAGTTTTACCGTTTCGGCCGTCTTATTTATTCATATTAATTAAGAAAAATTTCTTCCGACTCGTTACAGTTACGCTCTGAGCTCTTTTTCATTATTAAAAACATATAAAACGTACAAAAAAAACATTCATCTGGGTCACTCGTTAAGCTCATGGTCCCGAGTAATTTACACTGTCATCGACCTCCGTCGTCCGTTTCAATTCTAGAAATTAGTAAATTACAATCTTTCACGTTTTACGATCACTTTAATTTTTTAATAAACAAATTTAGAGATAGGTAAATATAAAAAAAAATGTTTTGGCTAATCGAACGAACCCTAGAATTATTTGCATTTATTTGATCTAATTATCTTAGGTAATATTGAAAGATTGTTGGAATTATCGAAAAAGATATTTATTTTTATCTCGACAAATATTCAAATAATATAAACATTTTTTTTTTTGGACGAATTAAAATAACAAACAAAATTAAATAAATATTCAAATAAAAAAAAATGATTTAAATTACAGTTTAAATAATAAAATCGTACGCACTTTTATTTAAATAATTTATTATTTGAAACAGTAAATAATAACGTATTGTAAATTGATTTTAAATAACACATTATTTTCAAACAATTACTTTTTACTTTCTTTTAGCGTTGCGAAATAATTTGTTTACTATGTGGGCTAGGTCGATTATATAGTCTGTTGGCGCCTAGCTACGAGGATTGTGTGTAAAAAACATACCGAACCCTATGGAAAATATGTTGTTAAGCCGAGATTACATTATAGGTATACCGTAGGACGCTACTCGACTTGGGAGTTCACGCGACCGCGGAAGTGCGGGGCACTCACCATGACCGTAATGATGTTCAGTGGTAGGTTTCTCTGTATAATGCACACAGGAAAACGCCTCGGGATGCTATTATGGGTTACTACTACTATGTTACAGCGATTTTTTTGCTTTCCTCCCGGACAACAGTGTTGTTGTTTTTTAATATATAATAAACAATATTATTAGCTTCGATGCGAAACCGAGAAGGTATTGGTGTGTTTTTTTTTTTTTGGTTAATTATATATTATATTGTTATTAACTCGGGATGGTATTCTCAAACATAATATACATCATAATTATTCGTTGTATGCTTAATATAAATCATAGCACTATACCATTATTATATTTTATTATCGTACGTACAGCATCAACCATAATAATATGTGTGTGTGTTATTATTATGTGGTACACGCGACGCATGATATGTGCAGGAGCCGGCAAACGCCTACGCTTTCAATGACCCCCTCGGCCGCCATGCCGGTGTTGGTGGGCCACTGGGTCACCAGGATTTATCGTCGCTGTTGCTAACTACACGCCGTTTAACCCGAAGCATCGAAAACTAGAAATCGCCGGTTTGCCGCACACGGTCCGACAACACAATAATATATCATTTACATAATAATATAATGTATATATATATATAAGTGAGTAGTGTTCGTGTGTGAGACCCGTGTTCACTGTTCACACCGATACCTATACTGCCGCCGACGCATTCCTGTGTCTTCGGGGCAAGTCTACATGTTCGGGATAATCGCACGGTCCGGATAGATACAAACTACTATAACAGTTACGCATAGATAATAAAATATGTTAACATAGTCAATAACACCTATTGATAATATTATATTATATTTTTTCGCGGTCGGTCACAAGAAAAGCGTCCAGTCCATCACGGAGGACCGTTGTCTCGTTTCACACAGCTCGGTGGTGTACGGTATAAGTTTTGATGTAGGTACTTTGTCAACACTTGGGCTATCGGTCATTTCTTTATAGAACACTGCAGTTGCCAAAATAGGTGTTGGACTCGTATTCTTGGCTGACGCACGTACAAAATATAATTTAATTAGTTCCGCATAATATTAAGTGCAACTTGTATCTCGTAACAGTACATCGAGTAACTCATCCAAATCCCTGTCATTGTGCTTTGTTTACCTATATCTCGTTATCTGATTAATTGTGTGGAATCATCACGCCGGCGTGGCGCTTGATCAATAATCTGGTTGCGGACTAGATAACATAGTCTATCATTAGCTGTTGTGTTTACACAGAATGCAAATAATAAGACAAAACCGTTACATCGCGCGGCCCACGTATCTCTCATTAGACGGGTCTCCAACAAAAGACGGCGACACACGAGCTCACGTGTGGGGAGACCGTGTACGAGATCTTAATGACCGTATGCCGTACAAACGAAGAATGGTATTGTCTGAGGCCATGCCCTCTGTATAACAGCAGCAGCAGCAGCTCTACCGCAGTTATTTATTAGTCCATACAACTGGTTTATAACGTACCTATATCCACCCGACCGACGGCTAGGTATATACGAATAATGATAATTGAAAAATCTCTCTCAATCAGGCGATAAGAGATACCGGTATCGATTGTGTCTGATGCGAATAGCGAGCTCGGGTGTCGTTTGAAACCGATCTCTGATTACTATTGTAATAATAATATTTGTGATTCGAATGTCACGCTTGTTTTAACCGCGGTGGAAAGAAAGAGACTTGAGAGTGTCCGATCGAAGGGAAACTCCAAGAGAACTATGCGATTTTGTCGCCTACGGTGGTCTGTTGATCGATTATAACGCGTCCTCGAAGCGCCTTATGATATTTATGCGTATTACTATATGTATTATATATATTTCTGCGGTTCGTCCCTTATACGGTGGGTCGACGGTTTCGCGTGCATCCGTGGGAAACGCCGAGGAGATGTAGAACGGCTGATTAAGATCTGCATGTCTTTGGATCCGGGATGCGCTGGCCGCGTGAGATGTAAAAGTAGGACGGCACAGCAAAACGGTTTGTGTGTGCGCGACCGACAAATGTGCGGGTGTACAAATCGTCCGATTCCTATGTGTAGGTATTTCCTGGTTGCCGGTACAAGATATTATTATATCTGTACGGTGTAATATGGTCGTGACCGGACCAATTCGACTCTATGTCGCGCGGGATTTACTATACAAACGTCTGGTCGCAAAGGAGGAGGCGTGGTCCGGTTGAGTGTGTTTTCTCCTCGATCGTAGTAACTAAATATCATTATTATCGCCGTCGTGAAGTTTTGATACGGTATACTTATGAATGAGAGCTGCTAATATGTATGTTTGCATCCGCGGTGGTCGAGGACCAGCGTGCTACCGACGGAGATGGGCAAACATTACAGAGTGTCGATAAGTCTCAATGTACATTTTGCAATTTATAATAACATAAATCGAGAAGTAAACTCCTAGGTGTATTATTATTTATGGATGTATCAACATTTTGTAGCTATGCCCGCCACCGTCCGGTTGCCGATTATACGAATGATCCGACCACAGGATTTCGCATTATGCAAAAGACTTAATACAGCTTTTGCCGCCGTCGGGATGGCTGTTTTTTGAAATTCTGCTGCTTCTTGCTCATCGCTCGAGTATAGGTATATATGCACGGAAAGCGAGATCATCTCGATACCGTATTAGGACGTGATCAACGCCGGCGAAGGCGGTGGCGTACGGGCAGACTCTGCGGGACGGGCTCACGATCGTTGCGGTAAGGCACGCGGAGAAAACCCGTTCCCGTCGGGATGATGAGTCCATCGCCGCCGGAGTGAAAGCTAGGACAAGCCGGCCACGATTTGCGAGGCCCAAGGGCTATGCCGACTCAGAGTTTTTAATAATAATAGTGTTAGTTTTTTTTCTCGGACTCTTCTTCTTGTCCTCCGACGACTTTCTATGCGTAAAGCAATGTTTGTTACAAGCCGAGAATCGAAGAGGCGGGATTTTTCGTGCGACTATGTCGTGAATACTACTACCGTACTTTTGGTTTTATTTTCCTGTCTCCTTAAAAATACAAGTAATTCATACTCCGGGTACTATGAGTTGTTGATAAAAGCCGATAAAGACTTTATGCTTTGATAAGGTACATTATATATAACGCTACTGTACCCTATGCTAATAATACCCTTAACGCTAATAAACAAACGTCGATAACACAATCGTATTGTTATCTATACCGCCAGCTCAACTAAAGGACAACATAGTGTGTTTAATCTTAACGGTTAAAGTTCCATGAACATTTTCACTTTCGTTCCATCCTATTCTTATTAGATATTCACTTTAGCTTTCAGTTTCTTTAAGCCGTCTCTTGGGAGCAATATCTTTGTCAGGGATCTTATTAATTATGACATCATGGAGCTAGATACTACATACAGTGTGAGCATTCCCCTACCGATACAATTTCACAGGGACTGAACGAAAGCACTATTGATATCATATGGACTTACCGGTGGTGAACAAGACGATTGCTTTCAGACAACTGTATTCGGCTGCATCCACGTGCAGGGCTTTGAGCTTTTCCACTTGCTCTTGGAAAATGCGTATGTGGTCCATGAAGGCGACCACTCGATCAGCGGCCATGGGAGAGGCGTGCAGTCCGGCGGCTGCCAGCAGAGGAGCCACGTGCAACGGCATCGAACACTGCGACGCGTTCAACACGAACAACTCGCTCCAAACGAGCCTCAGCAGAGCCACTTGGTCGGTTACCTGTGTATGGTCCAGAAAAAAAAACAAAGTATGAGCATTTATGAGATAATATACAGCGAAGGTACGACCAAAAATATGATGATGATAATAATAATAGTAATAATAATAATAATAATAGAAATAGCAAATCTGTAGTCTGTACAGACGTTTGAGACAATAACTAAAGGTGTCGTGTTGCGATAATAGAATTGCGTCGTTAGGTCGCGTTTATGCCGCGCTTTTGTATGCCAACGGATCGTAATCAAAGATAATTTAGGGTCATTCAACGACGGCCCCGAATCGACCGCCACGCACTCGGTTGTTCCCAAGGTGAAGAATCAGGTGCATTTTTTTTCGCAGCTATATCTAATACGTTTTTAATTGACAGCCGAAATCCGACTACGGGCAGCACCGTAGTCGGGGGAGAGGTTAATAATTATTATTATTATTATCACCATAATCGTGCATAGTACTTACATATATCATAGAGCATAGAGTAAGATAATATAGATGTGTATTGTCATAATATATTATACAACGGAGTTATCAAAATGGACGAACGACAGTGTGACCACTTAAAAATATTAGTTTATTCCAATATTTTTTAAATGTCTGTTAACAAGGGTCAGTGGAAGGATAATGTGTTTATTAAAAAGTCCCAATTGATTTATAGCACATAATTTAGTACAGCAACGAACGTTCTATACTAGAAAATTTCAATGTCTTCTTTCTGGTCACACTGCATCCCGACTTTTTGCTAACCGTAAAATATTATACTTATTAGCTTTGTTCGTTTTGAAAATAAAAGTGTACACTAATTAGTGTAGTGTACACTATTTCAAAACGAACGCTTTGGTGTACACTTGTTGTGAAAAAGTGTACACTTTTTGTCAAAACGAACAAACGAAAATGATGAGACATTTTGTTATAGAGATAACAACGGAAAAGTCGTCTCACCTGGAGGTCGGGGAAGAACGGTATGTTTCTGGCCCATTCGACCGCACTGAACAACAGTCGGGCCGCCAGTTCGCATATGTTGTCGATGCCCATGATGTTGTTGGGTTGCATGCACTGACCGTACCTGGATGTCGGGTATGGTTCGGCCCGCAACAGTAGCGATATATACGAAGACAGGTACGAGTGGCCGTTCAAGCCTACTGCACCCACCGCAGCGGCCGCGGCCGCAGCCGCGTCACCGTTGGTCAGGCACAGTTGACCGGGTAAACCCGTCAGACTGGGCGGCTGGCTGGCCGGAACTCGACCTCTCTGTACGGCTGAAAATATAAAAAAAAAAAAAAACAATTATTATTATGTTTTTTTAAAGTTCTGTTAAGTTCATATTATTATTGTTAAAAAATAAAACACACGCGTGAAACAATTACAAAAGGTAATCGTCAAAAAATGCATACTACCGCAGTGCATGCGGTAAACGGACTGAGTCTTCCCCACCTGTATTTACCGATAGGACTTATCTAATAACTTATTAAAATAGGGTGTCTAACATAACCCGTGGAATAGGTACGATAAATCGAAATACCTCAATTCTTCTTTCTAACGGTTTTTATTTTTCTAGTGACATGATCAACTATGGCCGACATTTTTTTTCAAAATCGTTACACGTATACGCCTGAAGCGTTTACGTAAACATAGTTAAAATCGTATCGAATCAAAAGCCATATAATAATAATTGTTATCGTGTGACATGAACGCACTTGCTACCCTCTTCGATTAGCAGCTGTTGCTGTTGGGTCCGGTTTTGGGTGGACTATATATTATATTATATGGATCCCATGCGAAATACCGGTATAGCCGATCGAACGAGTTCGAGCCCTTGACCGACCGCTGGCCGTCCCGTGTGAAGATCCGCGTACAGGACATTATTGCCGATCGAAACCCGTTTAGATCCAGTTATCGATCCCACGGCTATAACAGATGAATCATGTGCCCATAGACCATTGTGGGGTGTTTAGTTTTTCGAGTTTTCTTCGAAACTTGTTCTCGCCATACACTTTTATTTGGCGCGGAAACTAACCAGTAAAATTGAAATCCGTTATTAAAAAAAAAAAAAAAAATCCAAATTAATGATCACAACATCAGCTGTCGACTATGTACCCCCCCCCCCCACCACCCTCGGGGCCCACTCGCATTAATAATAATATTATAAAGTACAAGCAGGACTGTGCGACCAATCCAGCCGAGTGTTTATTGAAAAAATAAATAGCCCTCCGAGTTTTTGTTTGCACAGTATTTCGACTGTCCTTCCATATTATTATCTCTGGCGTGGAACTTTTTTTTATTGTATTTTACTTTTCAAACAACAGTGTTCCCCGCGAAGATCAAATCCCTGAGGTATTAGGCAAGCAAAATGTCAAATAAAACATATCAAACATAAAATTAATAAAAACGATATTTTCATAAAGTCCTGTCGATAATTCCAATGGTTTTTATTTTTTATTTTAAAGAGTCTCGCGCATTTAGAATATTAATATAGGTATAAAGAAATAATAATTCAACTGAACCGGCAAGACCGGAATAATTTTTAGTATAATATGATAATTTACACGTTATAAAATACAGTTACTTCGCTTGGCGCATGGTGATTATGCATACATGCTCTCATAGTACACCTACACAAGTTGTGTCGTTGTATAACACCATCGATGTTGAAATTTTATGTTCCCTATTAAAACAACACAATATTTTTTCGTGTGGCGTGATCGCGGTTTACTTACAATAATTACAACAACTTTTTAAGTAATATTTAGTAGCCCCCGTCGTTTTGTAGTATAATTTTTTTATAGTTTCTCGATCACAATCTAAGTACAGTAAGTACCCTTGACCATAGGAATTTCTTCAAATTTATAATCAATCAATTTTCGGTGTGCCACCCCATTCAAGAATTTCAAGAATATAGTTAAATCCAGAACGGCAACGTGATCTCGTGTTGGCCGGCCTATAACAAGAATGCTATTGCGGTAATGTTGCAAAACGGCGCTGCATCAGCCGTGATGGGACAACGTATTGTAAATCTTAGGAGAGCTGTTGAACTTTCGCGCCAAGACAATGGAGGGTCCGAAAAAGGTCCGTTCCGTCCATTACACGCGAGTTATGTTTTTAACGAGTCCGTCGGTAGATATTATAATAATATGGCGCTCCCGGACAATGGTCGGCTCGCGCGATTTTAATGCCCATACCGCCCCGAGTGCTGCTGCCTATATATGATCCATAAGACCGTACAATGCCGCCTCCTCCTTCGCTGCGACCGATTTATGACACTAATGAAAGCCTCCTGTACACACACACATACACCGTTATTGCTATGTGTACCGTCGTCGTACTTGGCAGAGAGTGGTGTAGACGATCGTATAGTCTTTTTAATGGGCCAATAAAAAATCGCCCATGAATACTGAGAAGACGCCGCGCGGCGAACGCGCGCTATTGTGAATGTCTTTTACCATACTTAAGGAGGCGAAGGGATGGCGTTTTGAAATCATATGATTATATTCAGAGAGTTGCGCTAGAGGTAGATTTTGAAGTACCGAGATTGCATAGTCCACCTAAATTCATCTTATTCTTATACTACTCGTGTGATAGGTGGTTTTGTGAATGAAACTCAAGCTAATACAATCAAACATTGCCCCAATTGTTTAGTCTGATACTAGACTTTGGTTTTAAAATAGAATGCGCTGAGTGCTGGGAAAAATATAATAGAATCTTCGGTTGAGTGAAGAGTATATTATATTGGTGCATGTGCGGTGTGACGAGTTAGGACAACATGAAGATTAATGAATGTGCATGAAGAGCATAGGTGTGAGTCTATTGGAAGAGAAAACGGGTTAAGGTCATATATGGGCTGATGGGCATGTAATTATGAGGAGAGAAAACAATAAAACAGTCGGTGTGTGTGGTGGTATAGGGATGAATATAGAAAAAAAGATAGCAGCACTTGATGTACTGTCGTAGCCAGAAATATATTTCAGAAGACGAAAAATGTTAACTAGAGCGTTTTATGATTTAGGAAAACATGAAAATCGCAAACACCTTTTCGAGTAACGTGTAAGTAGATCATAGAAGAAAACAAGTGTCCTTAGCGTCTCCGTTGGTCTTCGGAGGAAGAACCAGTCGGATAATATGATTTAGCTGATAGGCTATTGACACAACGGTATGAGGCTGCAATATTATTGCTGTGGAAAAACTATTTTGAGTGGTGGCTGCGAGTGGTCGACGTCAAATAGTCGGGACTCGGGCGCACTTATAGCGGCTGAGAGAGAAGATAGAATTTCGATTATAATGCAACGGACCGACGCATTCGTTTGGAGATTAAAAATATTTATATATTTTCCCGACGTGTCCGTCGAAATTGACCGCCGTCATTGTTGTTGGTAATGGCGCACTTGACGGTGTCGGCGTAGGGCGTACAACCTATGATGTAGGAGTGAAAAAAAAAAAAGCCCAAAGCGAAATAATTGCACTGGCAGACAAGATTTGTTCCACATAGTTGTCGTCCGCACATGTTATACGTATGTAGGTGTCAGCGTTGATGGGTTATTTTTTTATTTCTCGACGAACGAACGTGGCAGCGGCGGTGGGGGAGAGGGTTACACCATTAACGTGTCGTTTCAAAAGTGGACGTGTATAATACACCGTGTACGAATCGATTCCATAACGTCTCACCGCAGACCGCACGGGTGGGCCTAAGGAATACACTGTATGTACGACGGAGATACCTCGTTAAACGACACATAATACAACACACACAAAACACTTTAAACTCAAACTCTTTACGTATAAGAGGCAGTCCGACGACGACCAATTTTCCCCCGAGGAGACGATTTCCCGTCGTCGTCACACGTCGCTTTTCGCATGGAGAATCCATTTTTACGGCGTATGTCTCCGGCTCCGGATCTAAGTACAACGACTGTATACTATTATTGTTATATTGATATAACCGGACAGGTGCACCACCGTCACTCGGCCGTCGTCAAGTCGGGTACACGATAATAGCTGCTATTATTTGCTAAGAACGGGCGCGTTCGGCGTGTGACCAATTGGCGGTGACCAATCGCCAGAGTTTGCACCGATAACGACTCCACCCCCGATCCCGCCGTCACCTGCGTTAAGTGTTGTTTATAAAAAATACAGGTACACGTTTGAATGGGTTTCGCTCGAGACTCCACCCGTTACACGAAAGAGATCATACATAATACGAACAAGTCATGTGTCATAGAATTCGAGTGTGAAGTAAGCACAGAAAGCCTAGCGCCTGGCGCACTCAGTAAAGGTGTAATGCAGCTTTACTAACGCTGAGGAAGTTTTGCCTTAGAACAATAATTATAGTTAGGTCAGAGTTATACTGAATTCGGTGTTTGAGTTTTGAGAAACTTAACGTTAACTGTGCCAAATTGTGCACTCGACTTTACGTTGACTTCTAACCGTGACCGGCTAACGGCGCAGGCATTTGCACAGGTGGAATATGCTAACGCAGGAAGGAAGCCAACCGTAAATACAATTTTAGTTCAACTATTTTTAGACTATGTTATTAAAAATCTAATAAAATATTATTGTTTTTCATTGGATGTACACTCAGTGCTGTTAACATAATTATTGGACAATTAGAAATTTGCAAATAAATATGAATTTAAGTTTGAAAACGTTCTGCTAAAAATTAAGGCAATTGCTATTATAAATGGCCAACAATTTCAAATTTGAGTGTTGCAACTGAGTGTGTGTTCTGATTACCCTACACGCTGCTATCCTTCTGTACTGCCTAGCATGGTAGCAGAGAATATACACTATCAAACACAGAAGACAAATACTGTACCAGAAGGGCTGTTCATCGCCGGCGATTGCAAAGCGAATTTTTACTTGTATCTATACACTGTGCGCCTATATGTATAGTACTGTATATAAGAGTAATAATTGTGGAAGCGGTGGCCTTCACCTTCGCCGGGAACAGGTTTACCTCGGCCTGCGTGATATATTATAATAGCACGATACCCATGTAGACGTGCCGACCTACTGCGTACACTTTCGATTGTGCGCCGTACAACGTTGTATTGTTGTTGTTATTATTATTATGATAATGATGATAATAGTACAACCACTAAAGCAGCCGACCCTTGCTACAGCAGTAGGACACAATTTCGGAAACGCACCGATTTGCGGTCCGAAAATTCATACAACGTGTAAACTTTAATAACTCTGATCGTGCCGAAGAGAAACCAAAAGGGAAACGTCATGACGGCTTGTTTGGCACGGGGACGCCTCTAAAAATTATGGAACCGCCAGAGGCCAGGACAATAATGTTTACTGAATTTGTATCAATTTGATAATTCTTCTAGCATGATCCAATTTACAAAATCGTTTTGTTTCAGTATTATATCGATGCCATAAAGAGCATGGTTATGAAAGTGTGACATTTTGCGCCTTTTAAGTTCAATTACCGACGGTTAGGTTAGATTGTCCAGTGAGTGGCGTGCGCTGCCAGGTCCTCGGACCGCTCCTGTACGACAATTGCACCCATTCACAACTGTAATTATTATCCTAACAGGGAGACACATGTTAACCGGAGTGACGCGGATAAAAATTATTTAGAATGACTAATCTATTGGCGACCGTGCGATGATGACATTTACCGGGCGGCGGTTAGGTATGCACTTACATTTTTAGAACACCACTCACCGGCAATAAAAATAATAGGTAGCTACAAATGTGATATGTTTCTGCTTTGGTTGACGGCTGAGGTCGGATTTCAGGGTCTCGGTGTTTGTGGCGCTTCCGTTCCCTTTAGTATGACACCTAACAAATTGTGAGCTCGCGAGTAAAACATATTTCATCGTTGCACAGTCGCACAGATCTATAACAATAACCGGTTCGAAATGACTGACATTAGACGTGTGGATGTGATTTCGCCGAACGGTTGGAAACCCGATTGGGAACAATTTATTCAGGCATTTGGAATGAAAACAAATTCGGGCAACGGAATCCAATAGGCATAATGTAACGGGGTTTGAAAATCGCTCACTCGCTATGACAATATAAAAATGCATTACATAACATTATCACTGCATGCGGTCCGCCCGCTATATTAAATCGGTGGCGATTGTGTTAAGCACGTTAAGCACGTGCAACACAACAGCGTATAATACTTAGACATACACACTGCAACAATGTATACATAGCGACGGTAGTGGGACAAGATATAAACGATAATTCTCATCCGACAAATGCGCGAACCGGTGACGCAATATCGTTCTCCGTCACGACTATACGGTAGTTGAGCGAAAAAAAAAATAAAAGATATTTAATATATTTATATTACTACCTAGTGTGTGTACCGAATGTAAATATTAAGCGAATCCATTAGAGGGTCGTATGCATATTATTTTCCTTAAAGAACATTTGTAAACGTGTTTCTCGTCTAACCACCTCTTATCGAAACCGAGCCCGGCCTCCATCATGTTTTTCAAATGTCTATTCAGCATAAAGTCTGCGCACCACACTTCCATAACGACCTTCAAAACCTTAGCTATTAAATGACCATTAACTTGGACAGTACTTACGCCCAAAAGCAAATCAGAAACGCCAATTACACTTATTGGGCTTCCTACCAAATGTTTCAACAACAAATTAACTTCTTCTAACTACTCCAATCGGTCTAGCCGATAGTTCGAGTCTTGCAAAAGCACCAATGTTAGAATCAAACTTATTAGTTCATTTCCGTTTAAATTTGAACCCACTAAACGGCTAAACACAAAAAACGAGATCTTGATTTCTTTACTTCAATTGACGGACTTAAAAATTCATATTAATTTTGCAACTGGGAGAGCGCACATTTGTAAGTTTCATTCTTATCGTTTGTTCTCAACTGCCTGATTACGGAAGATTAGTGACGCGTCGCATTTGTACATATAGACATTAAAAATATCCGTAAGGACGGGATGGTGCAATTATTTGACAAATCACATTCAATACAATTATTATCTTTACTGGTGTCAATGACCAGCGACAAGCAACCGTTCCACGACCACCGTCCATTGATTTATCACACATACATTTCAAGATATAATATCACGCCGAGCTGACGAGCAAATCTCGGTGGCGCTTCCCATTTGTCTATTAACACAACATCGACGCACACGGTTCTCCACTCGACAGACGCCGGCTGTGGCTGTGTAGAATTCCCGCCGTCGGTGTGTGCCGTGTATGTAGATACACTACGTACACCGTACAGGTACTTAGGTTGTATCAAGTACTAAGTCATAGTATTCTGTCGCAAGCCTGGCAACCGTCCCTCGGGGGGCAAGGGGGGGGGACGCGACCACCGCCGGCGCCTCGTGAGATGCGAAATCGAGTAAGAGCCCAGTTGTACAGTCGATTAACCGCGATGCCCACGGGCGATTGCGTGTAAACTGCACGACGCCGACGACGACTGTCTGTTGCAGCTGTTCTTCGAGTGCGCCAAGTCGTTTCATTAGTAGGTATAATATCGTACTTGCCGGTCGACGATACCGCGCGGTATACGGTATACGGTCGGCCGCGTGACTCGAGCAATTAACCGCGAAACCAGCGCGTTCCGAGGTATCTTTTTACCGCTTTGCTCTCCCGCCCGGTACGCCCATGGCGCAAGCGTCTGAGCGCAAAAATACATTATTATTACCTACTAAAATAATAACACAGCGTAATTGGTTTCTCGTCGGCAGAGAGTGAGAGAGAGATAGAGAGAGAAAGAAGATCGTGCTTGGAAAGCGTCGGCGGCGAAAGGGGAATAGACGCATCAACGCGCGGAGCAAAAATTATTATTAATATATTAAATAACTAAAAAAAAAAATACACGCACACACACACACACTGAAATGTTCTCTCGAAAGTTACCGTACATAATGTATATAAAGTAATATAATAATGTTTTCTCCTGGCTGTGTACTTGTGCCGGGATAAACGTCAGTCGAATGTATGTGCCCGGGCACTTCCCGCACTTATTAATAGCGTTGTATCATTAATACCTTCTACGTGTATATGTATGCCCGAACAAACGCGTTATTCGGATTGTTTGCCGATTGTAATTATTATTGTTTGAAATGCTACGAGTCGTATGGACAAAAAAAAAAAAAAACAAACAAATTTCGGTAGCCCGGTCGTTAAAACGCATTAATACCGGGAGAGATCATACAAGCCGCTAATGCAAATGACGCGTGAACACGGTCTGGATCACGAACCACAGGCTAGGTTTCTAATTGGGACCCGTGAAGCTTCCAAAATAATATTCACCCATATGTACGCCGGCCGTCGTAGAGCAGGCACGTCCAATTTATACTTGGACCCACACACGAGTTCGTGAGCAGTTAAGTCGGTACTGTACCTAATACTTACGGAGAAACTTCTTTTTAATTCGTATAAACGGCGAGTTCACACTCATGATCAGTCCATCAAACATAAACAGATCATGTATGCCATAAACACATTGCACGTCTTAAGTGGAACTTGTTCTAGACACTTTGTGGCCCACGGACAGGATAGTATTATGATACGGCTATTGTTCTATATTAGTCACACGCTAATATTATAACCTAGCCCGAGACTATCTGTGCACATTTTTTGTTTGGACGCTACATGCTCCTATGTCTTATTATGTTCCTATTAACATAGGAGTCCACTTTAGCCATACTGGAGATGTCCCGAGACCTCTATAATTTGCGATTTTCTGTGTAAAATTTGAATTTTCTTCGATGCTTTGGACCGAAATTGGATAAACGATAAGAATAAAAACAAGTGTTCAATTATTGATATATACTAAGACTATACGATTATGGGCTATCGATGCGGTCCCGCCATATGACTTCAATTATTAGGAACGAGATTAAAAAACGAAAAAAATACTATAAATCCGTTGATTATCGACGGCCGACTCACGCCGCGTTTAGTCCCAAACTACATATATATATATATATATATATATATATATATAGCGGATATGTTCTTATAATATGCCTTCTCGTTAGCGCGATGCTCTAGCTATAATACCTATACGCTTTTTTTCAAGTCAACGATTTTACGGATGTTGCCCAGCCCCAGCGGACCGTGGCCGGTATTATAATATGTAGAAAAAAACACACCAAAAATTACATTAGGACCACGGTATTTATCAGCTGTACCTAAACCTTGCGTTAAGCCCGTGAAATCGTGCAAGTCGACGCGGATATCGCGGGGGAGGGCGATCGGAATATAACGTTACGTTATAGACTTTTTTTTTAACTATATACTTATGTGCGTGCGGTGAGCGTGTGTGTATAAAAACGACTTTTGATGTGTGATGATGACTTGTTGAAAACCCAAAGAATGTCCGCCGTCGACCCGTGTGATACGTTGACCCGTCGTCGCTTCCTCAGGACGCACAGCCGCGACCTTGGGACGCCCCCACTACCCCCGGAAACGATAAAAAGAATTTGTATTTTTTTTTTATTTAGAATTTCTACATGATACACGCCGGTGATTAAAAAACGGATATCTTTCACGCATCTAAGGATGAGCGCGGATAACCGGGCCAAAATAAGAGTCGCCTTCGCTCGATTGTTATTCGCCGTCAATAACAGTATTAGTTAGTAGGTACCTCTATATTAATACAACAGTGACGTCTCACAGGCCGCGGGTAGACGATACAGGTACTGCGTATGAAGACCTACAGAGCGATTTGACACGGTGCTGTATGTGTGTGTCTTATCGACGGCTAGATCTTTTTCTCTAGGTGTACATAATAATATTATAATCGCTATTCTCTTCCCGTGTATCGTTATAACGTAATAATTATACTTTATTATCATCGTACCTATATAGTATATACATATAGGTAGTATGCACATACGTCGTGGGCGCGTTGGTAATTTACCAATTACTATGTAACAATACAAGAGGTATTTTTTTTTTTTTATAATCTTACCTTCTCGGCGCATACCCATTTTCAGGCATTTTTTCAGCCGACAGTACTGACATTGGTTCCGGTGGTGTTGGTCGATAGGGCAGTTCCGGCTTCCCCGGCACGAGTAAGTCAGGTTTCGGCGGACGCTCCTCTTGAAAAAGCTTTTACACCCTGTGAACGGAGAAACAAAAAAAACAAAATTATTTAAATTACATCGCAAAAAACAAGACTTTTAGAACTTCTACCCCTCCCCTGACCTAGTTAAGTCAACGGTATTAAGGGTATTGCACGAATGCGGCCGAGTGAACGCTCACCCTTTCTCGTCGACCAGTTATACATTTAATTTAACATTATTATCATGCAAATAGGTGTCACAACACCGCGTGCATTACACAGTTCAACAAGTGAAGTGTATCGTGTTACTGTTATTTTTTCCCCTTAATATATTATATTATTGTAATATAAACCTGTCGGCTACCGAGCGATGAAATGAATTACACACCTTCTGGGTATGTAGGTATAACACATGTACCTATTTTACATAACGTACTAATTAATCTACACACGCGCGTTATGACATAATAATATAATGTGCATGTAAAATAATAATCAATAATACTTAATTGTTTTATTTTTTATTTTTTAATACGGTTATTGTTATTGGGATCTGCGGTATTAGTGTTGTTAACAAAAATCAAAAGTTTGTATAATTAATACTGTAACATGAGGTAAAATAAAATCTCTTGAGTATTAACCAATTAGTCAAAGTCATTTGTTTATTGGTCGGGTGGCAGGAGTAGTTTCTCACATTACTCCCCTCGCAAGTTATCGTTTTTTGCTTGGGCACGATTGGCCACGAAAAAATAATTATTTCCATAAGAAGTATTTCACTGATATAATAATGCTATTGCCTGTGACAGTCATGAGTACAGTCACATATTTTGCCCTAAAGACACGCGGGGCACGAGTTCGTGGCCCTTGGTCTGATAGGGGCCTCGAATAGTACAATTTGCATCTTTACGTTTTATTGTTTAAAGGGCCCTAAAACTATGTGTGCCTACATAGCCTGACACCGGACACGGCCCTAAGACCACTATGACTCAGAGGCTTATACATTAATAACGAATGACATTTGTAGGTATTTCATTTACTTTTCGTTCGGGGCTTTGGGCCCACACAATGACGTTAGTCATAGGCCCTTTGTTTTATTCTAGGCCTTTGGCGCAGTGCCTAACGTTCAATCTGGGCCTGAACACATGAAACGTGTAAATAATTTACGACTGATACTTTGGCCATCGTTTTTCAAGTAAACAATCTAATCGGTTTGCTGATTCATGATGTCGGTCAAGACAAATGTTTTTACATTCGTTTGTTTTGTGCCGGAACTCTCAGCGGTTTGAATAATTGCAAATGGTGTTGCGGATATCCTGGCGGGTGGCGTCACACTAATTAGTGTACAATATTTAACAGGGCCGTCTTAGGCTGTGCAGGGCCCTTGAGTACACAGAGTTTAGGGGCCCTTTAAGAAAACCCCCAAAAAAAACTTTAACATGTAAATTGTATCATTCGGGCCGTGGGCACTGCAAACCGATGGTAAATGGGAAAACAATTCGGATGAAAATATCATCTCTAGCGAATAATCATACCAATAACGACGACGACAACAGCAACAATAATGGCAGTTGAGAGAAGAAAACGTGTCCATTGTGTGTGTGTGTATGCCGCGAGAGGCAACGATATTATTCTTTTACTACTAGGTATATGGTTATTTTCTTTTTCGCTTTTTTTATTATTATTATTATTATTATTATTACTATTTTGATACATACGCCGCCCAGTCGTACAGTACCCGTGTGTGTGTGTGTGTGTGTTGTGCCGGTGACTAATATAGGAAGAATAAGAAGGCGAAGAGAAGAAGACACGACGGCGGTGTAAGTATACAATGGGGAATCCGATGCACACGCCGCGAGACCGGTTCCCACGGCATCGTCGGACGTCCAACAGGTTTGGGGGTTTGCGCTACACACACACACACACACACACGTACGCCGATTTACGCAAACCATGTGTACTATACTACTCTACTATGTATATATATATATATATATATGCTGTGGCCGCCGCCCAAGTGGCAAGTACAATAATATAATGATAATAATAATAATAATAACGGCGACGGCGAAGGACTTGAGCGGGCGCGCGCGCGTTTCTCTCACAAAACGCTTCGAAGGCGACCGCCCTCACTCTCTCTTTCTCTGTCTTTGGGCCGCCGACAACAATAAGCCTCTCTCGGTGCACACCACACATAATATGCATCTCGCATTCCTCTGCGGACAGTACTTTTTATTTTTTATTTTTCTTTATCGAAGTCGTCCCGCGAGTTGAGAGAAAAAAAATAATAATAATAATAAAGGAGAGGGAGAGAGAGAGAGAAATTACGGGTTTCGAAACGTACTTGGGTATAGAGAGACTACGGAGAGACAACGAAAGGGTGTCTGAGCGTCGTGACTTCGCTTATTTTACTTACTCGCCAAGTATAATATTATATACCTACATACTATTATATGCGTACGATATTGTAATATAGCAAAGCGCCCGTACTCTTCTATAAATATGTACACCGGGTACACTTATGTATCATATACATACACAACAACTAATGACGTTGTCTGATCTCGTCTAACACTTATATACAATGTAATATTTTATTATGTACAAAAAATATGTTTATTATATTACACGCTATATCTATAATAATTACGATTTGTGCGCGCCCGCGTGTCACACCTAAATACTATGTATAATAATAATTATCATAAAGACTATAGTCTTAGGGATTAGCGTTATTATTATTATCATCATCCGTTCTATTAACTCTTCGGGCAAAACGCTGTACCGGCTCGGTTCGCATTGTAATGCGCACAATGCGTTTCCCCACAAACCAATCACGGGTCGGTATTATATAATATCATAATAGACGTTATTTAGTAATTAATTGATCATACGGCGTTAACAAAACCGAACGCCTTAGGCCGTTATTCGTTAATTTAATTCTTAAGCTACACTACAGTCTACACAGGTACATAGGTACCTGTTCCGGGGTTTGGCGATTCACTCCCAACCTTATTGTCGGGGTCTGACATGAGAAAAGTTTAAAATGCTCAAACTAAATTCTACAAAATCTGTGTTGGACGTTAATTCACCCCTCATAATGTTTAACGCAAATTACAATACATGAGACGTGGCCCATAACAAATGAAATTTGAGTTTTAACGAGATTTAACACATTGTTCTCATGGAAATTCTGGTCTCTTCTCCGGGTGTACCTACGTTTTTAACACCACAACAACGTTGTCGTCCAAAATAATATTACCTAACCTAATCTAATCCAACGGTAATTCTCACTCATAGGTGTATAACACGCTTGTAAACTGGTCTGGCGCCTACAATGTATGTTATTTGTTTTAATTAACGCGAGCTGCTAATGAACGCACGGTTGAGTGAGAGTACAAAAGAGTTTGGCCGTGTAAAGGTCACGTGGACGGCTCCAAGATCAGAGGGTCACTTTTAAGTATTATGAGCGGACGAAAGAAATAAAAACAAATGTATTCAACGCCGAATAATAAAACGTCGCAGCCGCGTGTAATGCGCGGTATACCTACCTATAATGTTCTACGCCGGGTATAAGATCTATTTATCATCTCCCACGGCGCTCATACAACAAATGAGCGCGTTCGTCGTTGTTCACAGTCTTCGTTTAAACATAATATTTAGATAATAAACGCTAGACGGAATTCGTTTATAATCCACACGTTTGGCATGCTCTCCGGTCGAGTCGCTTACCCCCCCGAACCCGCTCCTTTGGCCCTTCGGTTTAGGTGTTTTTTTTTTTTTTTCATTATCACGGTCGGGATCCTTCTCGGCCTTCCCCTACCCCCGTATCCCCTGTCTCCTTTTCGGTTAATTCCCCCGGCGTTTAATATTACACCGAACCGACGACACACGGGCGGCAGACCGGGCGGGGCTAATTAAGACCGAACCGGAATAATATCACACAATTAAAATGTATAAACAAAACGTCGGGCCGGGCCACTCGTGCCACCGGGAGGGGGGAGGGGGACAGGGGCAGAGAGGAAACGAAAATAAAGAGGCGGCAAAAAAAAGATATCACGTTAACAAAAAAAAAAAATTAAAAAAATACCGGCAAAGAGAGTAGGGGGAAAAAATGTACAATTCCACGGTAATGAAGGGACGCGTTGGATTCGTCGAGGCTTGTAAATAATGCGGTTTATTATCGTCATTATCATTGTGCTGTGTGCCCAGTCATTAAAAACAACGGCCACGGTGTCGGGAACGCGTGTAAAACCCTAAGGGTATGGGGTTTTTTCTATAGGGCGAAAAAAGGTTTTTCTTTACCCCTCTCGTGTAAAATAAAAAAATAAAAATCGCGGCTTATTAAATCAACAAGGTGCGAAGTCGGACTACTGTAGGTACATTTTACAAGTACAGCGGAAGGTCGTTGTTTATACCATTAAAATTCAAATAACTAGTCTAGACAATAATAATTATACCTATATTATATTATATAGGTACTATCATTCGCGGTTCGGCTATTATAATACAAGGAACTTTCGACGCAATATAGGTATGTTTTGAAACTATAACGGTCCGTGAACACTTTTGTAATGGCAAACCCATCATCATTCATATTTGAACAGTTGGTAAATTCTAGACAATGAAATACATATAGTTTCATATTATTATTGTTTCATCAGAGCGTCGTAGCTTGTTCGACTAAATGTTTTGTATTGAAACTTCCGCGTTGCAAATAGGTACATCGTTCAGTAATTCGAGATAATTATTATGAACGTTATGTCCGGGAGGAGGGGGGCTATAGGGGATAGAATGGCCTTTTTATAATAGTTAGAAGTAATATTATATTGAGAAGTACGGAAAACTTAACTACAAATGGGCGGGATCTATCCCCCAAAAATACGCCACCGGACATGTTATGTAGCATCAAACATTGTGTTAATAAAAACTCGCCTTTAGATGAAATAGGTCAATTCTAAACAATACATTTCTAAGTCTATATTTGTTCTGCGTAGATTGTTTTCCTATGTCTTGGGAGGATTTTCTTTTTTCATACATTTTGACTAGCAAGATTATCATAGGGAATAATCGGATCTAAGGAAATTTCTTTCGACTCTAGGAAAAAAAATGTCAACAAGGAATATTTTTATTGATAAATACGGTTTTTTTTTTTTTTAGATTAGGTACTATTATTAAATCATTTTAATCGCTCAACTCGTTTAACAACGAGCGTGCGTCTTTTTATTTATTTTTTTTTTTTGCTGCCCATTTACAACACATATTTTGCATGTTTTTTTTTTCACTTATATAGTAGGTACCTACACGAATTGGTTTTTTAATCGACTCGAAACGCACTTGTTGCGGTCGTATGCGGAAAAGGTTAACGGGGCGCGAATCGACGTTGTTTATTATTTACACTGTTAAATATTATTATTATCGTTGTTGTGTATCGGAAATTGACACGTTGTCGAGAGAGAGAGAGAGAGAGAGGGGTTAAACGTATACAGCAACAGGTATTGTATGTACATACAATGATAATAATAATATGCGTGCACCACCCCACGGTATATTTTTAACGCTTAAAGCGCACCTTTCTTTTGGTTTTTTTGATTTTTTATAATGCGATTTAAACGATCACCACGTCGTCGTACTGTGTTTGTTTTTTTTTTTTTTTAATTTTGACGACCTATCCGATAAGGCAAATGGCAATATTGTTCGACTAACGTTCGCTGCCGCCAAAAAAAAAAAACCGGTTCGGCCTCGCACAGATTTGTGTACCGGATTACAGCTTACTTATATATATATACCTATATACACCACTGCCTATATTATAAACACGACGAGTGCGCGAACCGAGACCGCTGTACAGTCATAATAGCCGCTAATAGTAATTATAATAATAATGTTAAGGTGGAATTAACACATGTATTATATAATATATAATAATTGATTATGGCTTGAGCGCTGACAAATCGGGCACTATATATATTTTATATGTGATATACATTTTTTCTTTCGCTAGATTTATACTAGCAAAATAAAAAGGAAGAGCAAGAAAAATGACTATGCTGCGTATGCAATAATATAGCTACTATAAAGGTCCACAATGTAAATTTGCAATGAATTCCACTGCGTGGCAACATATGATAGTAGTATAGCGAAAAATGTATTATTCATTATTTCATATAATTATTATCGAACGCTGCGCTGTTGTAAGGTATTAAAATATTTACTAACGAGAGAAATACAGTTGTATTATTATGACGTTATAGCAAACGGCCAAGTGCGAATTACACTATTTTAATTAATTCATATAGACATTGGCCGTTGGCACGTAGCGTTCGCCATTCATTAGACCAATTAAACATTTTAAAAAGTAGTTTCATTCGCGAACGGTCGCGATGGTGTTGAATGAATTTGAATTTAATTGATTACAATCAATATATATATATATTCACAATCGGTTCATGTTTTAAGCTCTAACATTTTTTTTCTGTTAAATTAATATTACTTAATGATATTTTTTTTCACCTTTTTGTACAGATATTATCCGTTTTTTTTAAAATTAAATCACCATCTTTGGTGTTGATTTTCTAAATGGCAAACTACGTGTATTTCCACGCTCGAGACTAAATTATTTGATTAAAAAATAATATACCTATTTAGTCGGGTAACCAGTTTTTCCTATAATTAATTAATTCTCGTTGCCCGTTAAGGCGTAAAGGTTGTAATGCAAGTGAGCAGACCGCTAATGTATACGAAATATACTTTTATGGTTTAAATCTAAACCGCGTTTGCTCATTTAACAACGTGTAAAAAAATAATTGGTTACCGAAGATATATTTTTTTTCCCATAGAAATTATTATACAAAACTGCTGTTTACTAGTTTTTTTTTTAACACATTTTATCTGTTTGAATTCAATATATAGCCCTCGCAAAGGTTATCAACAGATTTTAAACTTTATGGGCAAGAAATATTTTTTTATAACATTTTTTTAAAAACATTTATTTCAAACTTTGTTGCTTAGAATTTCACCGGTTCGTTTTTGCACTAAGCTATTCACCCCGGAAAAGGATTTTTAATGTGACATCATCATCTGTTGGTGTGTTTATATTACGAGGGTATATATATATATATATTTATGTCTATAACAATATCATATCATTGTCGGAGTAGTGTACACACGCGGGTTATGACCCGGCGACCGGTTGACCCAAAGGAATCCGGTTTCTGGCACGGTCGTTCGCATGTGAGTATGCCATTAGATCCTGGGCACCGTCGGAGGCAGTGAAACCATACTTTTTTCGTTTTCGTTTTTTCATACTTAAAACTGTTTTTTTTTATTCGGCGCGCGCTTTTCATCCTAAGCCTAACGCTATGATTCCCGCGTGGTCATTAATACCTACAGAGCGTGCGGACATATTTTAAAGTGATTTCGGGAAAATTAGATTTTAATCATTTTTTTAAGCGATCAATTTTTTTTTTTTTAGATACGTATTGTATATTCTATTGGTGATTATATTTGGTAGCGGAAAAAATTTAAAGAGTATAAGTAATTTGTTTTTTTTTATTAATTCTGTTCTTAAGATGACAAATCATAAAATAATAAAAATTCGGGCAAAAAAAAAATGTTCATCGGCTGATGTTGGAAAAATTGTCACTTGTACGATTTTTTATTTTCACAATTTATAATGTGTGTTTTATCAATTATAATTTTAAAATTTTTTTTCAAATGACGTTTTTTTAACCGGATTTAGCTGGTTTTTTTGTACCCAATAGAAGAAATTTCAACTTACAATTTTTTTCTTTTTAATTTACCGGAGCCTTTCTTTTATTATATACAAAATTGTTTTATATTTTTTTAACCGACCTTCGCAAGTGAACTGTCCGTAGTGTTTACCGCTGCTCTTGTCGCCACAAACGACGCACTCGATGTTCTGTCCGTTTTTGTCGCACTGTCCGCTGAGCGCGGCCAACGAGCCGCCGGATTGCGAGCTGGCCGTACCCGGCGTGGTACTCTGTTGCGGCTCTTCCATGTGATGTCCACCCCCGCCGACCGGCGGATCGCGCCACGCGGGCGTCACCAGGGCCATGCTACGGGTGAATCCGCCAAGATCGTGGTGATGTCCACCGGACAGCGGATCCGGCGGCACGCCGTGCGGTACCTGCAGTGAGGGCGGCGCGGCCGAGCCGCCCAACGGCCCGCCACCGGTCATGCCGGGCCCGCCGCCGGACACTGTGCATAATCCGCCTACCGCCGCGCGACACACCGCGAGGCCGTTATGCGGAATAATAATGGTGCCTGCCGGTGTGGACCTGAGCTTCCGCTGAAACTGCCGGGCTGGCCCGACGAACGCGACGCTGATGTGTCGGACGAAAACTCGCGGGATGCCCCCGTATAATTTACCGACGGTCGGTCACGCGGCACTACCACGACGTAAAATGTAATTTTATCAAATTTTCTTTACCGCACGGGAAAAACGCAATTTATTATTTTGTAATAATAAAATTAAAAACAACACAAAAAAAAAAAAATGAATATTATTTGTGTTTAGTAAATCGCGAACTTTTCGGCACAACGGCGGCGGTGGCGGCGACCGTTTCGGATTTTGACCTTTCGGAGACCTGGCGGCCGCGATCCCAGATCGGAGTGAACTGACCCGCGGGCCACCGGGTTAGGTTAGTAGACCCGACCGGGGACCGGTGCGCGGCGCGCGTACGGCGCGCTCCCCGCCACCGTCGCGGCGTTGCTACGGCGACGCGGCCGCTCGGCGCGCTGCCATTGGTTCCCGACCCGGCCACCTCTGACCAATTCATACGCGCGGTCGCGGCCCCCGGTGACACCGAACATACTCGCTGCCGCCGCCACCGCCTAGCCCGGCGGGGGCGCCTCGGATTCACTCCCCCGCGCACACAGCGTACACGTGGAACGTGCCATCCACACCCCCTGGACGCCGCCCATCCCCCCCTTTTTGGCGGCCGTTGCGGCGCGCGGCAACAATAATTAACTTCGCTCGCAACGCTTTCTTTGGGGTTTTCCACTCCGATTCTCGCGCTTACAGGTTTTTTTTTTTGGTTATATTTTATCGAACAGTCAATTTTTCTGGCTCAGGTGATTCGCCGAAAGGCCGAGTCTGTTGCGTTTATTAGCGCGCAATGCCGCCTAATATAATGTAAGCAATAGACTTTAGTGCACAGCCAGATCCAACCCTTAGATTAATGTATATATACATGTATACATTTAGTAGTTGTATTTGGACGCACTTACTTAAACACTTTACTCGATTTTAACTTGAATTAAGCGAAAAAAAAATCAAATTACAAGTATTAACTTATATAATAATAATTATATACTATATAAAACTCATACAAGTACCCGCCCAGCAAAAATATCGGATTGTCATGTGCTCGGTGACAAAGTCGGTTGTTATATGATCCCATTACAATTTATACTGTTGGGCGAGATCGTGGTTTGTAATATAATTATAATATTAATTTTATCTGAAAACATAATATGTTTAAAAGATAAAGAACAATTATTTTTAATCGAGTCTAAGGCGAACGGTCGTATTATGTCGATTACAAACGTCGAGTTAAACATTTTCTCATTAAACCCACTTAATAATATATAATAATGTGTTGTATCAATAATCAGTTAAGTTGATAAGCAACTCATATGTGTAGGTTGTTTCATCGTCGAATTGAGTATGCGACTGTTATCGAATAAACATACTTACCTAATATAATAATAGTGTATTATATAAATATATATATACAATACCTATGTATTGTAATCGAGAAAGGTTAAAACTTAAAAGTATATCTACTGGTTGTGTGTATTTGTTGTCGATAGATAATCAACAGCGCTCATCGTTCAATGTGTGTACATTATTATTTTTTTTAAATCTATACCTAGATAATATTTTTTAAATTTACTTAATGATTTTGATTATGTAACACACCCGTTAGGTTGGGCACGTCAGAAATAAAATTATGTCTGCTATTAAAAAAAAAAATATATATATATTTTTGTTTTAATATTTACGCTGATAACAAAACGAAACGGTCAAATAGTAGAAAGAGAACTCATCGTTAGACGTTAATTAAAAAAATTAACGCGCACCATTGTTTGAATGTATTTTATTCATTAATATATTATATTTCAGATAAGCGGTTAACGCAAATTCTGCAAGTTTTGCAATAAATAATTAATATGATATTTATTTGTTTTGGATATGGCAGTGTTTGCTAAGGATGTTCAGACCTTCTAAAAACTCTGAAAGCTCCCTCAGAACGAAATGAACGAGTTTAGAAGGATTTTAACTTCCCTAGCCTCCCTCTAAGTGCGCCAGTAGTAATATTGATAAAATTAACATAATATTAAGTATAATATATAAGTGAAAAATACATTTTTTTTTTGGTATACATATGTGACACAGCGGTAGAATATATTTATGCACATTAGTGCTGATTATTTTACTACGACGCATTGCTAGCACATTTAATATATCGGAATGATTGTTAAATACGATTCGATTACTATTGTTTCCACCCAATCGGGCATGCTTGAATAATTCATTATCAGTACAAAATGGCGAACACACATAGTTATTATTGTTCAAAGCTTTTAATAAAGGAAACACCGCCGCCGTGCGTCATCGAGGCCACACGACGTCAACGCGGTTAACATAATATTATTTAGTATTCATACTATTTTGTTATGACACCCCAGTGCGGTTTATAACGTTCTTATTTTCCATCAGTGTAACCAATAATTGTCACTGGTATAATTATTACACCGCATAAAGGTAAAACTCGGTAGCATCTTAATAGAAACAGTAATTATTATACAAAAGCTACGCAGTAGCATTGACATGTAATATAGGCGCAAAAAATCTATTACCCAAATCTGCCAAGAGTCCGTTTTTTTTGGGAACCGCAACATTTTTTTTTTTTTTATTCGTGGCTTTCAGTTTTATAATAATAATTATCCTGTAATATGCGCTTGCATGATAATGTGCGATAATACTTGTTTATGCACATCACGAGTCGGTGGACGGTGTGGTTTTTTTGTTTTTTGCTGCTGCTGCTGCATCTAATAGAGGAGTCTGTAAAATTGGTCCTCAGAGAAATATAAGTATAATTTCATAATGACCGCGTACCGCCCGACACGTAACGCATACGTGCTTCACTATAGTCCTGTAATTATTTTTAATGAGTGTAATTAACGTATGATTAACGGTCAGCGCAGGCAACACGACCGTTTTGACCGGTATATGTATATTATGTACAATACATATGTTATAGTATGCAACGGGACTCGTTTTCCAGAAAGCTTGTAAATTCTAGGAAAAACTCGACCGAGGTGGCTTTAAAAAAACACTGTAAAAAAGAAAACTCCGAAACATCGCTGTTAGAGAACTAATTTTTTAACAGCAAACAAGTTGTTATCACAATTTAGTAGTAGTGACGTCACTCTATATTATATTGTCGAGAAGAGGGCACCGAGAAATCCTATTTAAGCCTGGTTTATAACCCTAAATCCTAATTAATACTTTGTTATTAGGTTATATTATGAAAATAAAAACGGATATCTCCTATAAAAAAAAAAAATTGAAAAACGTAAAATATGATCATCTTGTAATTGAACTATGAAGAGTGTTGAGTGTAGAAAACACACGAGCCTGTAATATTATACGAGTCCGTTTTTCAGAAGAAAGAAGAAATCCACCAAAATCTTTTGAAAATTAGTTTTATGTTGAAAACATTTTCCTGAATTTGACCTATATTCTTTCTGCACAAAATGACAAAAAATCCAGCTCAGTATATGGACGGAACATCAGTAGTCTATAATAGACTACAAACATACTCTTGGGATTGGGGAGGTCACAGGAATAATTATTACAACCAAAATCACTTTCAAATAAACTCATCGATGCGAATCTGTGGATGGTTTTAAAAATGTAATATTTAATAATACCTAACTGTTTCAATATATTTGATTTTTTTAATAACCATATTACGGCAAGAAATGGAATATCACAAACTTAATAATAATATCCAAACATTTAAATTGTATTGTAATGTATAGTGTATGTATCATATATAAAAATATATGATGTTATTGGATATATATAAATCCAAAAACAAAATTTGTCGTTATACTGGAATTTTGTAAAATTTTACCTAGTTGTAGATGTTTATCGTTGTGTTTTTGGAAGTTAGTACACTGTGTGTATTAGGCGCTCAGGCGCTTAAGGATCTACTCAGGACTTTAAGTTAAACAATAAAAAAACGTTTTCTGATTTTTTGAATTTCTATTGATAATAATAACAATATTTTTGTTTTTTTTTTAAAACACGAACATTGTCTCATAGGGTATTATATTATATATACCTACTAGTACATATACTATATCGTAGTAGTCACTTCCTGTGCCTCGTTGCAGGTGTGCGCTCCGGAGTATGGATTTCATACGTCCCCCGGGCAACCGCAATAATAATAATTACCGAGTATACTATACTTGCACAGGGTACAACATACACATCACTCGTGTGCCGCGCGACGAAAGGGTCGGCGGATGTAAAATACAATAATTATATATAAATCATAGCGGCCCTTCGACGGTTAGCAAAATTAAACCCCGCACAGACACAACCAACGCTCGGTTATTTATCTTTTTGTCAAGACGGCGGTCGACTCGCAAAAGTTTCTATGTCTTTCTTCACCGGGTCGCTCATCGCGGGGCTTTGTAATTAACTCTTCCCCTACCCTAAGGGATTTGTTTGTTCAAAACGTCACACGGTCGCTGTACACAGCGTCTCCCCCGAGATCGCATGAACGTCTCAATATATCTGTATATATATATATATATATATATAATAATAAAATATTCGTTCATCGCCCATGTCCGTCCTATGCTAGACCTTGTGTCTACGGTGTACACGGGTATCGTTGTAAAATAATTTATTTAATTAAAAGTAAGAGGCTGTCGAGGATTTTTTTTCGAATGTCGATTACACTAATGACTGCGGTGGGGCGGGAAAGGGGAAGCGACTCGGTCTGGGTCGGAAATCGTGAAAAGAAAACATCAAAGCCGGATATGTTAAATCGACGGATAAAACGCGGTAAGTTTGAGGTTTTGTTTGTTGAAAATATTTTTCTAGCCGCCGTTTGATGTGGGCTCGGGCAAAGGCGACAAACGAGTACCTACCCCGACGAGGGTTGATGGTTTAAAAAAAAAAGTGTTTTCTGCAGTGTTGCGACAGGCCGAGACACACATATTGTATATTATATCAAGATAGTCTTTCGAATATTGCACCGAGCGCAGTTCATTGTCTTTTCCAAAAACAAATTTAAACGGGACTCGCGGGATTTTTTTTTTATAATGATTAAAAAAATCATTTCCCCAAAGCGTTTTGCCGTCAAGCGTGTCCCGACAAAATGCGGCTCGTAACCGATGTATAAACTTGCATACTCTATGATAATATATATATATATATATATATATATATGTAAAGAAAAAGAGCTTTTTTTCCACCCTGGTCCCCTGAGAAACGTTTTATTCTTCTTATTCCACTTGTGACTGACGTCTGTCTAAATGGAAATAAAATAACTTTCTCCGGGCGATGAGGTGTCGGCAGCTTATTAATATTCCCCCTGTCGATCATG